CCGGCTCGATAAAATGGTCCATTTTTCCGTATGTCGGCTTTAAACTGGATTTGTGTACAAAAGGGTAGCTATCACATAAGATAGAACTATATATCATTGTATCACAGGGATGAAATTTTCAGAAAAGTGTTTTCTGGAGTGTACTGGAAACTTTACGATAAGGTTGATGTTTCTGGACAAGTCTTCTAAATTGCAACAAAAACATTTCGAACAATGCAAAGAAGAATAAAATCGTTGTAAGTGTTCTGTTAAAAGATACACGAAATAATAATTTGAAAAAGTCGTGATCCTCGTTAAAAGCGAACTTGTTTTGTCCACCTTTTTTAATGAATTTAGTTTATGCATCAATCTCCATATTTACCTAATGCATACAAAGCTACATGACTCGGAATAATTATTCATTTCGAGTAAGCAAGAATACGCCAGATCCCTTCATTATTTCATTTTCCACAGGTCATTTACTTCTGATTCGTGTCCTCTCTATCACCAGTGCACCTTCATCCATATTCGTGGCACATAGCTGATGATGGAACAGGCGACTTTCGTCTATGTGCTTAGTTAGAATTTCGGAGTTCGGGTGCAGGACGCGCAATTAATAATTTTTGTTTGCTTTTAATTAATATCCACGCTATTACTTCTCGGCATTTTTATTAGTCCAAGACGAATCCATAAATTAAGTCGTCGTTCGGCAGTTCGTTGGAAACTTTCTCTCTGATGATTATTATTTTCCCGGCGAATGAACGAATGAGTGGAAAAAAGGAAGAGTTTAGTTTTTAATGGGAAGAATTCGTGACTTCGTGCTTGCTTGACAAATACTTACTTAAGATGACGATGACATAATAGAAAATTAAAAATGTACCATCCAATTAATTTATAAACTCACACAACATTAAAATTTATACTCATCGTAATTCTGCACTCATACGTCTAAAATTTAAATCGGAATTTTGAAATGTAACTACTTTTCTTTTCCTTGAAATGAGTGCATCAATATCATCGAAATTATTAAATTAATGACTAGCGAGCATTAAAAGCATCTATCTTCAGCTAAATACGTTCTTTTTTTTGTAAAATTGTAATTTCCAGAGAATACATTGTATTGGTCCGGTTGTACATAGTATCTCTATTACGATAAGATTTTTACTTTATTCAAATCAGTAGTGTCTTTATCGTTTTCATCGCCACAAGGACTCTTTTTCCCTTAAACGATTTGCACATAGCGTTAGCATTGTGATTTGTCTGGATTTGTACTAGACACCGTCATCACCCGACTACGTTTCATTCATCAAACGGTTTTCCTCGCGTGAGTTGAAACAAATGGAACAAAACGGAGATCATAGACGCGCTTTTGTATGTGCGTTTATCTTTTTGTTCTTTTCCCTTTCAGTACTCTTCAGCTAGGTACCTTTACATAGGTATACATAGCAGACATATATGTTTGCAATCATACTCCATTCGTTTTAGGGGCCAATAGACTGGAGGCAAGAACCAGAGGATAATGCGGTAAACCACAACAGAAATATATTATTTTTGCGGGATGTTTTGCTTGGTTCAAGGGCAATGACGTAACAGCTTCTCTAGTAGGTACGCCTACTTGTATGTAATAAGTGTCGTCTATATAATTAATTTAATGTGTTCACTTATTTGTATGATTCTGAACTGTTTTTGATTATTTTATGCCATCTTTCGGGAGCATTAAAAGTTTCGCCAATATCGATCGCTTGCGGCATTCTTTCGCTACAATGGTGCAAGGCACAGTGTGAATTTGAAAGACCATTAGATTAAGGCATGCAGTAAATGGAGATGGCATGATGGTTCCTGAAGGAAGTTCCCGACGCTTTAATCTTAATGGTCTTACTGAAAATTTCCCTGTACCATTAGTCGTTTGGATTTGGACAATGCCGCGACAAACTTTTTGGATGTTCTTGATTGATGCCCGCTTCTAAGAATTTCATCTAGATGGGTTGGAAGAGCACCTTTTCAGGCATGAAGGGCTATTAACTAGGCAGATATATTAGGCGCAGAAACAGGAGTTAAGAGGAGTAGAGTAAGACCCACATTAAGTAACTGTTTACAAATAGTTAAAGATGTCGGATGTTGTATTTGGGAAAATGCGAAAATTAGCTGAGGATAGCAAAAAGTGGAGGTACGGACTGACGATCTTGTGATGATGATGTTGTATTCTTTTGGCACGCATTCGTAGGATAGTACATAATACATGTAAATTTATATATATGTTTTACCCATAAAAAGTTGGATGTGTTCAGTAACCCGGCAGCTCTAGTAGGCAAACCGCACCGTTAATCTACTTAATGTAAGAATGGCTGTTTGAAATTTCAAATTCGATGTAGAAAGTAAGCATTCCTTTCATGTGGCTCTTGATTTTTCGTTTCCGTCAAAGAAAATTGCAAAGCAGTAAGGTTTGAAGAGCTTCTCTCGAAAACATCTTCGACTCGTGCACATTAGCCCTGCGTAATGTTGAGGGATTAAACGACAATAAAGTGCACGTGTGTGTTGGAGCAATGAACTCCCTTTGTTTGCCGTAGTTGATTGAAATCTTGCTTCGCTGCATCATAAAATGTGTTCCAGTCTCGTTAACTGCCACTGCCACCACCGAACTACCACCTCGGTGCATACAAAGGACGCCGACGAAGAAATCCTCCACGTATGTATGCGTATCCAAAAGGGAACGAAAACGATGATTGGGAACGGTCGGTACTACAGTGTCGATCGTTTATAATGTTTGCGAAGAATAGATGTGCAAGAGCGAGTCGAGTTTCATTTTTTACCGATATGTTTCTGCATCAATTTCAAAACGTTACGTAGATTAAAGAGAATAACGCCAGAAGGTTTAATAAATGAAAACAGAAATTGTCTTTTGCAATAGAAAAATGGCGAAGTCGGGGAAGGGGCATTTAAAGGGTAACATTCGGGAGGACGCCTGTTCGATTCCGAGTCCGTCTGCCTTAGTCCAAGTTTTTCTGTGGTTTTCTTGGATCTCTTAGACAAATGCTGAGGCAGTAATATTCCACAGATAATCTTTCGTTCTCTTCTGTCTTCATTTCGTCCGTCTCATCTTTTTCACCCGAACCACCACCCACCAATTCCTACGATTCCTGAAAGGAGGCTGAACAAGGTCTTCCTCCCTACCTTCCGGAGTAGTCCGGTGGGACTAGCCGCCCACCAGCATTATTGACTGGTGCGAATGGAACACCCAAAAGTTTTTTTTACGGTATAGCTTAGAACCTAGAGTAAGTTTACAGTTTAAACTATTGCTCAACATTCGGTAGGACACCGGTTCGATTCCGGGTCTACCTGATCCTGGTCCAAGGTATTGTGTGGTTTGCTAGGATCAATTAGGCAAGTGCTGGGGCAGTATACGGGTTTATTTAATATTACTTAATCACACCAAAGTTTCACCTATTCTTTTTAAGCTAACATTCAATTATTAACATATTAATCCACCTAAACTCATTAAATGAATAGTCAAAACGTTGGTTGTGATTAAATATTGTTAAATAAACATTCACTCCTCAACTAGGTTTCCAATTTTGTACCGAAATAAATAGTTTTTTCTAGTACACTACAATAAATTCGAAGAAAAACACAAAGCAATAAATTAGTTGATCTTTTTTAAGAGTTACGCGACATTTACAATAAATTTTGATTTAGATAATCAGATTTAAGGTTAGTTCATGTCAAGGAAGAAGCCTTATTGCTTAAAACCAAATTATTGTAAGGCTTAGAGCTTTGACGAAACCATATTTTCTAAAAAATTGTTTGAAGAATATTAAGTTGTTGTATGGTGTTAGTTAATTTGATGAATAATCAATCAATACTCTTCCCGAAAATGAAAACTAAAACAGTTTATTTATGCATGGGATAAAAAGAAGACGATTCAATTTATTCTGACAGATGGCAAGCCTCTCGGCCTTTTTCACTCGCGGAGGCCTGATAAATTCCGTCTTCCCTGCCTGCTTATCCTATTCAATTGGAGATGAATCCATTATTAATCACATTTAGAAGCAGTTTTACGGGACATCATAAAAGAAACGACGCGCGTGGCAATCTAAAACGCAAACCTAACCTTTTTCCATTTACTACCACTCAATCGTCGATCATTTGAAGATGTAGCGATCGCGTATATGCAATAAATGTACCACCAAATGGGTATCTGTAGTAACATTATTGAAAAATTAAATGAAGTCTTCCAAATTTGGATGCATCTATTTTTGCGACATTATTATTAAAATTTATCAATATAATGGTTTAGTAAGTATTAGTAGACCAAATGAATTGTCTAGGTCTCTGATCAAGCGTTTCGCGGTATCCTTTATTTTACTGGGCCGCACAAAGTAGTTCTGGTGCACTAATTCGATAAAACGCACTATACCTAGCGCACTTTGCTTAGATAAAGCTAAGAATTTAGAAGAGCTAATGAGGTGACCAATTGATAAAGGCTTTCGTGGCCAGTAAGTGAACTGATGCTGTCTTGATTCGGACCTAAAGGCCGTCGGTTGGAGTTCTTTTCTAACGTTTCGCTTCTTCAGAGGTACAGCCAGCATCGGAAATGGAAGGATACGAATCAGGACAGCATCAGTTCAGGTTAGTGAGCTAATTGATGTGTTCACCACCATGCAACGATTTAGTATTTAATTTATCTTATCACAATAAACCATTGTCCCTGTAAAGAACTTTTCAGCTGTTTTTTACGAATAAAATAATTCGAAGTGGTCTGTATTCTGTCGAAACTGCCAGACGCGGATCGCGATTTCGATCTTTTGGATCTCATCAGCGCGTCGCAAACACCTCCGACAGAACACAGACCAACCTTTACCTGGTGTCTTAACAGCGCGTTTTAGAAAATACCACAAATAGCGCGGAAAACGCCATCTGTAGTACGATGCTACATTTTACGAGTTTCGTTTATAAAATCGAATCAAATTACCATTAGCCAGACAGCAAGTTGAACCTGTAAACGAAAGACAGAGCTATCTTACCTTTTTTGCACTTCTTTTGTATTGTTTTATTGGCCTCGCACGATGCTTGGTCGCCCTTTTTCAATGTTAATGTTCGCGAACGCATGTTGGTCTTGGAGTCGCATTCTGACCACGGACCTTTTACGTATCGGCATGGCTCTGGAAACAGAAAACGAAGAAGAAAATTTAAGTAATGCGTTTGTTTGCAAAGACTCTGCGGGATGGAGACTGGAGACGAACAAAGGACGCAAAAAGCCGTTTACGATAAAGTACCCTCGTAAATTGTTCACATCACGTGAAAGCGTATACCGAAACGGAGGATTGTGATTTTTGTCGCTGAATTGGATTTTGACAAATATGTGTTGATAATAAAATATATTTCGTAAAAAAGTACTAATCGCAAGACTTATACGCCTGAAAAGGTTTTAAAACCGCTTATAGGGTGAGATTTTTGAAATGGCTACCACTCCTTTTAGGAGAATGACCTTAAATGCATAAATTTACAATTAAAAAATCTCCCCCTTGAAGGTAAAGTCAGGACAGGGGGTTCCGAAAAAAAAAATTGAGTTTGAAATTATTCTATAATATTTTTAATTTTTAATAGTGGTTAATACGAAATGTTAATGTGAAAATTCATTTTCAATTTTTTATCCACTAGAAACTACCTCAGTTTAATGAGGGAAAAATTTTGTTGCTGTTGTTTGATTCCCGGTGGGGGTGTGACAATTTTAGTAATTTATCCCAGAGCCGGGCAAACTTTAACTTCGTAGGAGCCGCTACCTAAGATTAGTTTGGGTCACTCCATACCCTTCAATGAATACCTGAAGAGCACTCGGCTGTTTTGACTCCCGAGTGCTCCTCAGGTATAGCCAAGGAGCTCCTCATTGCTCCTGCGAGTGCGAGTGAGATGATTCTTTCTTTTTTTTATCCCTTCAATTTCGTATGTGACTACCCTTTCCCAAAGCCGAACCCAATAGCATTGCGACTGTAGTCCTACATGCTACGCCTGAGCTGCGGAACGATCATTAGAAAATTTTCGTAGGTATTATTTAAGTTGCGAGAGAGGATTCGCTCGTCTACGGCAGAGCCGGGCAAACTCGGATCTTTTGCATCCCGAGTGATCCTCAAGGTTAACCAAGTAGCTCCTCATTGATCCTGCGAGAGCGAGTGAGATGATTCTTTTCTTTTCTTATCCCTTCCATTTCGTAGATGAGTCCCCTCTTCCATAGCCAAACCCAATAGTTTTGCGAACGTAGTAACGAAAATTTTTGGTAGGTATTATTTAAGTTGCGAGAGTGGCTTCGCTCGTCTACGGGATGAAGGGGCTTGATATGGGAGTGGAAGGGAGAAGAAAAAGACAAAACAAAATTATTCATTACTGCTTACTCTCTCGTACTCATTGAAGGGTATGGAGTGACTCAAACTAACCTCATGTAGCGGCTCCTGCGAAGTTAAAGTTTGCCCGGCTCTGGTCTACGGGATGAAGGGGCTTGATATGGGAGTGGAAGGGAGAAGAAAATGAGAATGCAATATGGGTCATTACTGCTTACTCTCTCGTACTCATTGAAGGGTATGGAGTGACCCAAACTACCCTCAGGTAGCGGCTCCTATGAAGTTAAAGTTTGCCCGGCACTGGGATAAAATACTAAAATCGTCACACCCCCGTCGGGAACCAAACAACAGCAACAAAAATTTTCCCTCATTAAACAGAGGTAGTTTCTAGTGGATAAAAAATTGAAAATGAATTTTTGCATTACATGCCCGGCTCTGGTCCACATTCTACAACCGCAACGCTAGAAAAGATACAAACACGCCGCCTTATCGATCTATCACCGCAGGTATGTGGTTTCAACAAATTGCTGATTAAGAAGTTAATGCTACTTTAAATCCAACTTTGTCTTGTTTCCTTAACTGTTCCAGGCGCATCAGTTTTAGATTGATAATTAAAATCATATTCCATTTTGAAATATCCACTATTCGCAGCATTTTCATTCAATCCGCATCTCTGGAAACGAGTAAAGTCCAGACAAAATTGAAATTCAACAGAGTGTACATTTACACGAGACGTGATAACAAGCAACACTCAGTTGGGTGAATGCATAAAAAGCTCCACTGTCATAATTTTCCCCTTTTTTTGTAAAAAAAAAACTGTAGCATTTGACAGCGCGGTTCGCAGGCGATTCTAACGACTTCAATTCGTTCGTTTGTTTGACGCGTCGCAACTCGTCGCGTCGCGTTTTAAAGAGTTTATACTGCATCAAATGCTGGCGATGGGATGCGATGTGAAGGTAATTTGTAACCATTATGCGCAACCATGGCCCATGCCTGTGGAATATTAATTTCTGCGGCTCGTCACGTTACCGCTGCACCACCATCAGGAACGAGAAAACGTGCGGTTTTTTCCTGCCAATCCAATTAACGGCATTACGTCCAAATGTTATTGAACATTGATCGGACCATTGACCTGTATACCGGCTACAAATTCAGTCACTTCACGTATTATTGTTACCCCTACCGATAGATGAGTGATACGCCACTGATTTCGTTTCTAATGGACGCGTTTCAAGCAGTTTACAACTTAGGACTCTCATAAATAAACTTTAGTAAAAACTGATGAACTCATAAACAGAAATTGTCCGAAAATTTCGAAAATTTGCGTTCACATTCCTCAGAGAGATTGAAATCTTTTATCTACATATTTATGTCACAGGGACAACGAAGATAAAGAGATCGTAGGGCATCTATAGTGGGACGATCAAAACTGGCAAAGTCCACAATAAATTAACTGTGAAGATGAACGTATCTTCTTTCTTGTTTCCACTAGAGACTGTAGTCATTTGCTGCGTTTTGAACACGCTCTTGTTTAAGTTAGGAAATGCTTCATTACTAGTACAGACAATGTGAAAAGAGATATATAACTGTTTGGTTTGAATTATATCTTTAAACAAGCGTTTTTGCACTTCTAAATTCCTGAGAATGTTGAACTTTCTTTTTCTTCCTTCCTTTTCTGTTTATATTCATTTTTTTTTTATAAGTGTCCGCTGCAATTACTACCTGGCATCTCTTTTCTATGTTTACAACCGCTCTAGTCAATTTAGTAAGTAAATGCGACAGTTTTATTTCAGACTATGCCACTTTTAAGCGTCTCAAATATAGAGAGATCGTATGACAACTACTTGGGTTGATGGCGATTATAACGTACGATTGGCGGGGTTTGTACTACCCTACAGTGATCTAATCCAAGCGATGTCAACTCCATGTTTCAGTATTATCCGTCGACAAACTTTGAATGATTCTGATGTTCTTCAATATAAAATTGTTTTACTCGTAATTCAAAAAGGATCAAATGGGCAGCATTCAGTTGTTACTTAAGAACGATTATTACAATTTTACAATGGAAATTGCAATAAAAAAAAAGTGCGCATTTAAATTTTCACCGAGAAGCTTTCTACCGGTCGCCGATTATTTCTAATCAATGGAAACTCCAAGCCGAGAAACTTTAATGGCTTTAATTAAAATCTGACAAACAATCGCGAAAAAACAACTCGTCTACCATTAATTACTGGGAATAGTGAACACTGTTAATTCAGCATTTTAACATTTTTGCGATCTGAATTAAAAGAACAAAACAAAAAACAGAAAACCAAAAGAAGGAAACGAAAGAAAGAAAATTAAATCTCGAGCGAGACGGATCATTATTTTTCGTGCATATACATAAACGCAGTTTATTCACAATCAGTTATTTCGGAAAGGAAATGAAATTTTCAATGTGATTTCTTCTTAAATTCCAATTAGCCGTTGTCAGAATAATTCCATTTCCGTTTCTATTAAGCTCCTGGAGGAAGCATTAATTGAGTGAATTTGATAGAAGGCTTTCGGTTGAATTATCCCTAGAGGCATGTGCATCCAGCTGTCTAATTAAATGAGTAAAGTGTGCCCCATATCCTTTTAATTTTATCTAGTGTATTATTTACTTATTTAAATTATGAAATTTAACGAAACAGACGCAGCAGAAACTGATACCTAATGCTGTAAAATATTTTGTGTAGATTTGCGAACGAACTTATTATTCTTAATAAAGTTGATATTGAATCTTCGAGAGCGGTAGAAGTCGCATCAAAATCCGTAGTCTTTAGTATACAGTGTTTGTCCGTAAAGTTATGAGACTGAGTCTGGTAATAAAAAATATTGACCATGTAGGTGTATATTTTTAAAATTAAATTTTTTAAAATAGTCTTCCTAAGCGTCAATACACCGCTGCAAACGCGATTCCTATGCTGCAATGACCCCCTGGAAGCCACAACTACCCTAACCTTTGTCAGAAACTCGATAACAACTTGTTAGATGGCGTAAGCATCTTAGAAACGGTGACTTGTCAGGAGCCTCTTGAGTATTGGGAACAAGAAATAGTTTCGAGTTGATATCGGGGCTGTAAGGTGGCTGGAGTAAGTCCAGGTTAGATGGGCGGTCACAATGACGACGATGTGGATTGGAGCGTCGTCCTGGTAGAGCGTTAAGCGTTTGTCGACTTTATCCAGAGACGTAGAGCAGATCTCTTACTTTGGTCCCTACTTTGGCTCTATTTTGTTGAAGGGTGTTCAGTCTTCAACAATTTCTCAAATATTTTTGATCTCACTAAATCATCCAGGTCTATGACAGGTGTTGTCTTTCAAAGCCTCCTTAATCAAAATTTATTCGCATAGTCCCGCTTCAGCTGACGTTCCCTTTTTGACATTTTATACCTTGCCAAAAGCTCAAAAGCTATGGCGACGGGAGCGCCCCATTAATTTACGAGCAAACCCTGTATTAATGTCAATTTCGCAAATAAGCTTTTTCTTGTGCTACTTTAAGTAACTATCAGTAATTTTTAATTTAGCACGATTTTTTGCTAATATCCCTTTTGGTGTAAAAATTGTTTCGGAACAAAAGCCGTCTGTAAAGGGTAGTTCCAAAAATGTATGGTCTCATCGGGTCGTTGGTTGTTAATGTGTTCCAGTTGTACGGTTAGTACTTTGAGCTGTGAGACCAGCTCCAACCCCAATGGATGGATGCGCACCGCCTTCTACTACGTTGGGTAGTTGACGGCTGTACATATATAAGAAAAAAGGAAAAAAAAGCTCTAACAACCACCACGCTATGTTTCGTGATAAAAATAGAGA